AGCCTCACCAGTGTTGTAATTAAAATACTGGAAAGGATAATCAAACGGACCATAACAGCATTTATGGAAACCAATAACTTGCTGAACATGGCACAACATGGTTTTAGAAAGGGTCTATCCTGTACAACGAACCTCCTTATAGCTAGGGAGCTCTGGATTAATGCGCTAGACAACGGAAACTCAGTGGATGTTGTCTACATAGACTTTAGCAAGGCTTTTGACAAGGTGCCAACTAATAGACTGCTATTGAAGTTGGCAAACCTTGGTATTGCCGGACCTCTTTTAAAATGGATTAAGGATTTCCTAGTAGGTCGTAGGCAAAAAGTAAGAATAAATTCCAAGTGCTCCATCTGGAGACCAGTACTTAGTGGAGTACCCCAAGGTTCCGTCCTAGGTCCTTTACTTTTTATAATGTACGTTAATGATCTTACAAGTATAGTACAGTCTCCAATGTTATTATACGCTGACGATGTAAAAATTTGGCGAGTAATAACTGGAGACACAGACGCATTTACTCTTCAGGCGGACTTAAATAATATGATAAACTGGTCTAAAGAGTGGCTAATGCCTATCAACTCGGAAAAGTGTGTCTACATGCACTTGGGGGATTCAAAGGTTAATACGTACAACATAGGGGATGTGTCATTACCCGTAGTCCGGTCTCATAAGGACCTAGGGGTGACAGTGAGCAGTGATCTTAAGACGACGGCCCATTGTCGGGAGGTCGCAGTTAAGGGGTTTCGAACCCTCTGGGCTTTAAAAAGGACATTCACTAAGCTTGATACTACCATGTTCACCACATTATACACATCCTTAGTGAGAACTAAGTTAGAGAACTGTGTTCAGGCTGCAAGCCCCTGTTTAAAAGGTGACTCAGACATACTAGAAAAGGTACAGAGGGCAGCTACGCGTGCAATTCCGGAACTCCGGGGTTTATCATATGAAGAGCGGCTTGAAAAACTGAACCTCTTTACTCTGTCCTATCGCAGACTAAGGGGAGATCTAATATTGATGTACAGAATACTGAGAAATGATTTCGGACCTAACTTATTCTCTCTCTTTCTTCCCACTAGATCGGGACACCTCAGAGGACATAGCAGGCGAGTAGAAAAGCCAAGAACGAACAAAATACCCGTGGCATACAGGTTTTCACACCGAGTCATCAATACTTGGAACCTGTTGCCTGAAGCAGTGGTATCCGCACCTTCAATTGACTCTTTCAAGAGAAGACTGGACACTCACAGAAGCATACTAGAAAAGGAATAACATAGGCCGTAGGCCTTCTGTCCTTACTACACAAATCTGAAATCTGAATCTGAAATCTGAATAGGCTTGATATAAGTCAATCAAATTTCCAAACTTCTCAGTTCATGACATATCAGTGAGATGTAAGTTCACTTTGTACTTTCAGTCTGCACCCTCTGAAATTTTTACTGAAAAGACATCATCATAGCCTCACTAGAATACTTTAAACGAGAAATCTGGACAGTTTCGCACATATCCTCAAACTTCTTACCTCTAACAGGAATACTGACTGGTTATCTGAGGCAAGAAGTTCAACAAACCATTGTTCTTCTTTCCTCCTCGTCACAAACTGTTTCCTCTGACGTTTGTCAACACGTCACATTAATTACCTTGTTCCTGTTGTAAGTTCACACAAATTATTTTGCTCTTTTGTCCTAAAAATACTTTAGCTAGTTTTATCATTATGACCATTATTATTGCTCCGGCTGCGAAAGCTTTCGAAAATGTCAATAGGATTTCTCATCAGTTAAGAACTTTTCAGTACTTGGTATCTATTGATTCATACCGGACTAAGCCAGTTCTGAACGCTTCAGTTTTAAGTTCTCATTCCTTATGAACACTCACAAGCAATCATTTCGTCAGTGGAAACACTGTGAATTAAGATTATGCTGCTACCCATTTTGCTGGCAGATGTAAATGATTGAAAGTATGGAGATTGAATATATTTCTGCCGAGGCACAGATCGTGGTCGAAATTGGCAAGTAAATGTACGTATGTGATCATATACGCACTAAATATGTCACTTTACGGTAAAAATATGCCGTGTATACATAGATGTTTTTGAGAGGATTTGTCACGGTACGGAATCCATCACGCTGACTTCGAAGTTGGACGCCTACTAAATCATTCGTCTAGTACAGCAACACTCGGTTGAGAACATTTCCTGGTACTGATAATTATGTGATACCTATGTATGCCTCGCATTCCCTCGGACTTCCTTCCTTTGATGTCTTGATGAGGTGTCCTTCTTTCCAGTCCATCGGCATTTATTCTTCCTCAAAAATCTTCCTAAATAGCGCGGAGATCATGTTTGCAGTTGCATCCTAGACCTACTTCAGTGCTTCAGCTGGTATGTTGTCAAATCCTACTGCTTTCCCACCCTTGAGTTGTCAAATGACCATCCGACTTCTTCGATCGTTCGTGGAGTGACATGTGTGGGTAGATTAGTAGGTGCTACTTCGATGTCTAGTGAATTCGATGGAGCTGGTCTACTCAAGAGTTCCTCGAAGTGTTCTACCAATTAGTTACTCTGTTCTTTAATTTCAGTGATTGGCTTGTCCTTTTTGTCCTTGACCAGTCTATCTGGTTTATAATATTTCCCTACCACTTTCATCGTCATGCCATTCAGTTGTTTCATGTTTCCTTCTGTTACAGCCTTTCCACTGTCGTTGCTAGCTGTCCCACGTTGTTCTGCTTTTCGTCTCCAGTACTATTCTTGATTAGCTTGTTTGCTTCAATGTATTCTTCTTGTGCCTTAACTTTCTCTGTTCTTGTTCGGTTATTGTTAATTGCTGTCCTCTTTTTCTTCCTTTCTTGAACCTTGTCCAGGATTCGTATAGAGATCCATTCTCTATGATGATGCTTGTCACATCCCAGGACCTCCGAATATGTTGAAGTTAGTGCTCCCTTCATCTCTTTCCATTCACCCTTCACAGCAGTTTCTTCTTCATTCAGTAACTCCCTTGAGGCTTGGAACCTGATGTTGAGAGCTATCTTGAATTCGTCGAGTTTGTTAGTATCTCGAAGGAAGGCTGTGTTGAGACTTTGTACCGCTGTTTCCCCAGTCCTCCAGTGTTTCTTCAGCCTCGGTTTCATCTTGACCACAATCAGGTGGTGATCTGAAGCTATGTCAGTTCCTCTCTTAGTTTCACGTCTTCCATCGACCTGAGATTTTCGGTGATGCAAATATGATCGATTTGGTTCTGTCTGGTGTGATTTCATAAACCTATATAGCATTGTGTACGCGTTTGTGTGAAAATATTGTACCGCCTATAACTAATTTGTTGAATGTGCATAGATTTGCAAATCTCTTCCCATTTTCGTTTCTCTTTCCCAGTTCATGTTGTCTCATGATATATTCACATCGTATGTTGTCCATTCAGATTTTGGCGTTTAGTGCTTCCACAAGGATGTTGAGATTCTTCATTAGGCATTTCTATATGATTGGTTGCAGCCTCGAGTAGAACTGACATTTAATGTCGTATTTGTTATCGTTTTTGGGTGCAAAACAGTGAATAACATTCTTCGTTATTCCCTTCTTCTTTGCTCTGATGATACTGGATCCGTGAGATTCCCGTCCTATAAGTGCATTTCGTGCGTTTTGGATAACATCAACGCAGCCTGTATATTCTGAGAAGTTTTATTTCGCTCGCCGGAGTATTGCAGCATCTCTTCCACATCTAGCCTTTTCTGTCCAGCTTCGGTTCAGTGGGTTTTCTCTGATTCCGAGTACTGTCAATTTGTATCTCTTCATTCCCGTAGCTGTCTTGGTTGGTCCTCCCAGTCTCCCATATTATCTAAAAATCCCATGTACTTATAAAAACTGTTGCTCTGGTCGTTAGAATGGGCATCAGCCTCGTGACATTTCGTCTTTCATCACGAGGTGTCGTAATTCTTCCTTCAACTCCCTGAGCAGAGTTTAAATTGTTTAATTTGTTTGATCTGTTTGGCGTTCTTAGCAAGGTTGTTTTCTACTGGATGGGGTTGCCGACTCTATGTCCAACTGTCCTCCCATATCCGGGCTTTGGATCGGTAGTAACTATTGGAGAGCTACAGGTGGAGTTGATAAGAAACAAAGGATACTGGTAAATATGGCTCTGTCAGCGTACCAATCAGTAGAGAATGGAGTTTCTTATCATGCAATTCTCGGTCTTATGCCGTTTTTTCAGTTTACGTAAATGACTTACCAAGTGAGGCAAAGTTCTTTGTTCTATTCTTTCAGATGAAGTTGAAGACCCACATAAATTATATCAGATAGAATAATATTATATGATGACCTAGGGACCAAAACAGTAAAAGGTTTCTCTGGTCTATCTTATAAAGTCAGATTGCAACACCTCAACTTATCTTACTGCATGTTACGGGGCGATCTGATATGGGTTAACCATATACTGAAAGATGACCTAAGTATTCACACATCTTATATCTCCCTTCCATCTAGGACTGACCATCTGAAAGGGAAATTAAGGAAAGTTTAAAAACCGAGAGTTAATGGTTTATTTCTAGAGTTCTGCTTTTCGCGCCAGGTAGTGAATTACTGGAACATTTTGTTGATATATTCAAAACGAAATTGAACCTCTGCGAGGATTAATATAGGTCGGTAAACCACCTATCCGTGCTACTGAAGACTGAGTACTGAGGCACGAAATTTGATACATGGAATAATAAGAAGTGATTTTGGACCTAACATATTCTTTTTTTCTCTCCACTAGATCGGGACACCTCAGAGGACATAGCAGGCGATTAGAAAAGTCAAGAACCAACAAAAGACCTATGGTATACAGGTTTTCACACCGAGTCATTATTACTTGGAACCTGTGGTGGTGTCCATACTTTCAATTGAATCATTCAAGAGAAGACTGGACACTCATAGAAGCATACTAGAAAATGTATAACATAGGCCTTAGGCCTTCTGTCCTTGTTTATTGAAATTCAACCTTGAATTATAGCCACCTTTTGTATCTCAAGGTAAAATACTGAGTTTATCCGGCCAGACCATAATTTATGGACGACCGTAGAGCGGCACTAAAGTGACTTTGAGGATGTCCACTTACTAACTCAGACTAAATAAGGGTTATATAGCAATAGCAGGAATCCGAATTATGATTCACAGTTGATAGTTGGGCTCGAGAACTACAATTAGGGTTTTCATCACGAACAGACATCAGCTGAAATACCAACACACTTTTTAGTCGAAAAGATAAATTCTGCACCAAAATCTTAGACTTTTCATCTCATATGTGATTGGTTTGTAAATAAATCGTAGTCTCGTCGCTTAGTGTTTATTCAGATTAAGTAATAAGTGTATTACACTCGTGGAACTCTCTTAATATTTGCAGCTTTTTTTCCAGTGAAGGTTCATCTTCTTAAAAATTTCCACTGATGGAGCTGATACCACTGCTTTGTGCAGGACATTCTAGTCATTGATCGCTCCCTTAAAATATCAGAACTCCACTCTGATTTTACTAGTATTGTTTATTTGGTGATTTTTAAAAAATAGAGTTTTCTGACCGCCTTGAGAAGCAATGTTAACATTTTTGAGATGCCTCTGCATCTAAATGTAGTATGTTGCTTCAGGACTGTCTGTTTCAACTCCTGAACTAATGATAGAAAGTGAAGTAGTTGAGTGTAGTAACAATTTCAGTTATCTTGGAAATCTTCTGAACGGAAGGTAAATGATAGACCCATCTTTTTTAAAGCTCTAAACGCTGTTTTTTACTGCCTGTTTTGTTTGATGAGTTGGAATAGTTGTCTAGTGTTACCCATCTGGACTAACTTTTCCATCTAATATGTTTTCGCTGCCGACCACTGCTCACGATCATTGAGAAAAGTTTTTATTTCACCTTTGAGTTCTCGTTGTTCTTCAAACTTACCGGATGGTTCTTCGATTACCTATCAATTCGGTGGGTATCACCAAAATCCACTTTTCTAACATTTTGATTTAAGTTGTTAGTAGGTGTCACTGCCATATATACAGCTGTTTAGACATTATTAAAAGCTTCATCAGGTTGACCTGTTTCTCTGCGATCAATTAGCTGCCTAGTTAATTTTTGTCTAAATCCATCCTTGGAGTTTGGATTTAAAGGAACTAAAATTCCATGTCACATTTGCCAGTACTGGTGAAGTGGAGGATGTTTTGGCAGCAAACTGTCTGCTCGAATTTGAGGGCGCAGTCTAAATACTGCCAGACGTACTGTACACGTAGTTCAGTTTATTTACAAACGTTAAGATGTTCTTTCGCCCTGTGATTCCGCTACAAAAAATCATCCAACTGGTCTAGAAGGGCAGGCCTACTAGACCTAGGTTAATGGAGGTTACCTTCTCTTCATCACAAATGATAGCTGCCACTCGAAGCGTTCCACATAGACATACCAGATACCACCTGTAATCCACATGTATCCGTATAGGACCTCGCTCAGCAGAAGGAATAAATCATGTTACGGGCGGACTATGAAGAACCAATAAATGTCAAAGGACCATAGTCCACTTAATCGCAAAGACTTGAGTAGGTAGGCTTTCGGTTGGTTGGTCATCGCCCCCCCTATTTCGTATTATTGATGATAATACATTCACCTCGTCATTCTATTACAATAAACTATTCCAATTTTATTTTGTATAGGTGCTTGCAAAGTCACATATTTCTATATGGCAGCATCAAAATGGATTAGGCAATTAAACTTATTTTTGGAATGGACAGGTCATGGTGTACTATGGATAGGATTTGTTTTAATTTGGCTTATTACATTGTTAGTTGATAATGCACATGGCATTAAGTCCTATTCATCTTTGGAAACAATATGGAATTGGAAAAATCCTTCTATTGAACAACAGTCTAACATTGTAGTCAACAGAAATATTGCAAAACCATTCTGCTTACTTATTGCTTTATTATTCGATGCAATAATGGTCGGCTTAATTAAATTTATATTTCGACGTCAAAGACCTAAAGAAAATAATGATTCAGATATGTTATTCACTGTTAGTATTGATGCTTGGTCATTCCCTTCTGGTATGTATGTTTGTTTTTATGAAGTTAAATCATATTCTTCTCTATGCTTTCTCGCAATCTTATCTTTATTTTATTGAAAAAAGGATGTAATCGAATTTATTTTTGTCTATAACCAGAATATGAATGAAATTCATCTTATTTTATTTTGAGCTCGACACCTTGAGTTCTACACATGGACTAAGTGACAGTTTTAATTCTTGCAACACTTGGTTTCTAATACCTCCGCCTGTAGCCCTTCTAGAGTTACTGCCGGTCCCAAGCCCGGGTAAAGGAGGGGGGTTAGGCATGAGGTTAGCGTCCCCATCCCGTAGAAAACTAACTCGCTAAAAAAACGCTTACCAGAAAAAAATAATTCAAACCATTTGGTTTCTAATCGATTCAATCTTGTGTTTGAATCCTGACCCAGTTGATTCGGCTTGTAAACTCAAGTAATATATCACTAGTTAGTCATTCAACAACGTAGAACTTTGTACGTACGTACATCAGTTCGAGTTGCCATACCACATTAGCACACAGATACAATTGTCGGTTCAAATCCTATAGTGGGAGAGGTAGAAAAGTATAAGCAGCAGTCGGAAACATTAGGGTTTGAAGATGTTATTCAACAGTGTGCATCCACGATCCCTCCTTGCAAGATTCGAACCCATGACCTATCAGTCTAGACTATACAAATTAATTCACTTGAATCTTCCGACTGATGTTTAGAATTGTAGGTACATCCAGTCGACGAGTCCTAAATAGGACGAAACACACGTCCTGAATTCCACTGTCAGCCACTATCCATTTTTTTACTCGTAGTTTTTTCAAACAAAAGAACAACAGAATCAACAGTTACGTTATGTAAATAAATTATGAGGGTTAAGTTTGATTAAAATGTCAACTAAGTGTTTAAACAAGAACGAAAAGAAAATAGAGAGTTGTTTCGTTTATTGTGGTACCAGGTTCTCCTCTTTAAATTTCTAAACGATGCGCGCATATTATTGAATTAAGTGTTATAAAACTAGTGGCTTGAATAGTCGAAGATTTTATTTATTTATATATTTGAACACATAAATATTGGTACGAGGCACCGGATACATATGCGTCACACAAGTCACTTGATTTGTGTGTGGGCTGTTATACTTCCTGAGTGCCCAGACCTAAGCAGGTGGTTCTCTTAGGAGGTCACACCTGGAGCCTTCGACACAAAGATCTAACCCATAAAGCAGTGGAGCAAGTCAAGAGATGCAGTCCCATGGTAGCCGGTGACCAATAATTGGTTCAAACGCCATTTGTTCCTTCAGGATCCTGGAGGCCATATGCACCATTGGTTTTGAATCGGAGTTTTCCAACTCTCTTAGGTGGGCCCTCCGTGTCCAGCGACCCGGTTAAAGAGCTGGAGAGTTAAAACTCTCTGCCCTCGACCGTACCAGGGCATTTGGAAGCAAGAACATTAAAATTAGTATAAATGCCTCGGATTTTTTTTATGTATCATCATCTATTGGAGCTCAAATAAACATTTAGCTATCTTTTTTCTTTTACATATTTGGAGACGTGGAGTATGAGTGACTATGAGGGCATAGCGAAAGTTTGTTTGAGGAGTAATTACAATTTATTATTGAGTTAATGTTTCAACTTGAGTAGGCAGAAATAGATCATAACACCTTTATGTCAAAAATCTATATTATTGTTATTATCATCACGTGATTTTCACCGTGAACTGATTTGTGCTGAATGATCGTAATGTACTTGACGGTTATTCGTCTGTAGTCTACCCTTTACAGCAATGTACTTCATAATATCTCGGTATGATACCCTACAAATGAGGTGTTTCAATCTCAACTGAAACAATCACATATTTCTCTCTAATATCCTATGTTTCTCCAGCCAATATATGTTTATATAGTAAATAATTTGTATGACAGCCCCCAAATACCCTGGTACGGTTGAGAGTGGGGAGAGTTGGGTCTCTCTCTCTCAAAATACTCCTACAAGGCCAAGTGTATACAGCTACTGCCAGAGAAATCCGACTCACTGACTTCTCACCGCATTAATATTGTTTACGAAATTGAGAAGACGAAAAGAGAATGTCCGGCACTTTAACCGGGTTGGTGGACACAGAGGATCCATCTGAAGGAGTTGAGAACCCTGATTCCAAACCATTGGTGCACATGTACTCCAGTATCCTGAAGGAACAAATGGCGTATGAACCAATTATTGGTCACCAGCTACCATAGAACTGCATCTCTTGACTTGCTCCACTACCCTATGGATCAGACCTGTAGGTCAAAGGCTACGTGCATAACCTCCTAATAAAACTACCTGCTTCGGTCTAGGCACCCAGGCAGTATTACAGCCCACACATAAATCAAGTAACTTGTGTGACGCATATGTATTCGGTGCCTCCTTATACCAATAATTGTGTTTAAATAAACAACTTTGTCTGACAACTTCAAATAAATAAGATACACACTTAATTGATGTTAATCATTTTTATTTGCCTTATGTTTCTCCTTTTATTTTCTTCTTTAAATTTAGGTCATGCTAGCCGATCAACAATGTTATTCTTTTTAATTTCTCATCTTTGGTTGTCTACATCTACATTATGGTTAATATTATTATTATTTTGGAATTTAATTATATGTTATTCACGTTATGCAATGCATCGTCATCATTTCATTGATATTCTAGCCGGTTATACATTAGGTTATATAGAATATTGGTTAATTATACAATTGAATTATGAATAGATGGATCTGTTAAGCATATATATATATATATATATATATATATATATATATATATATATATATATATATATGTCTAATTTGGAAACGGCAGACGAAACAATGTTAGTGGCGAAATGTATGAACATCTTAATTCAAGTTTATTTGTCTCTGTGTATGTTCGTGTGTGTGTGTGTGTGTATGTATGTATAGGTCAGTGTTTGTGCAATTATCCTCCCCCCCTCTCTCTCTCTCCTTTAAAGAACAACAACAAGTACAAATGATTATGCAATCGAATCCTTCATATTTTCATATTTTTTTTTTTAGAAAAAAATTATACTTCTGTTTCTATATATGATTTTTTAATTGAAACCACGTACCATGTACCGATTGTCCTTTATGATTATTAAAGATAATATGTATTAATTTTATTCTAATGTCCCAACTTTTCCTGTGATTTGATCTTTACTTTTATTTTTTTATTTTTTAAGAAACAAAAAGGAATTACATTCTGATTAAACACTTCTATTGTTTTGTTGAATAGCTATAATTTATTATTTTATAATGAGAAGTAGTGACCAGTAAAGTTCAACCAGATTTGTTGTTAGATAGTAACTCATTGAAGACAATGGTAGATGTGTCGCTCAATTTTGTGAATTAGTTGAAGTTAGACATTAAAACCATTGGATGCCGGCTAGCTCAGTGGTCTAGTGGTTAAGCGTTCGAGCGCGAGACTGATATGACATGAGTTCGAATCTCGCAGGGGGCGAGATCGTGGGTGCGCACTGATGAGGAGTCCACGATAGGACGAAACGACCTTCCAGTGCTTCCAGGTTTTCCATGGTGGTCTAGCTTCAGTTGACTCATCATCTCAACTAATGAAATTATTATATTCAAGAAAAAAAGAAGCTAATTTACTTTCAAAGTATGGTTCCGAAAGGTATAAGCGTTAACCTACTTTATGTGACAGAAGATTTAGTTGCGCACATATGAACAGTTTGTTAGATTTCTCCATATAGATTGTCTGAATCTTGTAAGTGATATCGAACTGATGGATTTGACGCTGCATACATGCTACAGAAGACGTAATTTATCAATATTGTCTTTTGTTAGTGCGTATCTGAAGGATTCGTGGAATCGGTGGTTTCGACGATAACAATATTTTAGATTTCATCGTGTTTACGAAAATGATTACAGATTTGTAATAAGGTAAAACAAAGATAAAGGGGACAGAATAACCATCATAGTAAATAAGTTGAAACATTTAGTTATATGATTAACAAATTACATATTGTCTTGTTAAAGAACTTTCTAAATCTTTATAAGAAGTCGAATATCAGTAACAGATACATAAGAGTGTAGAGAGGAATCAAGTAGTTGTTCAGGAACTTACTTATGCCTGTTATCCCTTGTCGAGTATCATAGGTTGTCCACCAGCACTCTCCATCCAATTGTGTCCTGGAAAATCCTTTCCAGCTCCTGTTCATCCTTTTCATGTCTACTTCCGATTCTCGACGTAGTGTGTTCTTCAGCCTTCCTCTTCTCCATTTGCTCTCGGGATTCCAAGTTAGTGCTTGCCTCGTGATACCCACAATAGGCTGTTGCTGATGGTAACCGGCCAATGGATATTGAGTATATTTCGTGATTGGGTTAGTACTCTCTGTGCTGCATTGTGGATGTTGCTTTTTTCCGTTATGTTGAGGCCAACTGATGCAGAGGCTGCTGCTACACTAGTTGTCTTCATCTGCATTTGTTCATGTGTATGGGATAGAAGGGCCAGGTCATCTGCGAAGTCCAAATTGTCTAGTTCCATACAAGCTGTTCATTGTATTCTGTGCCTTCCCTGAGATGAAATATAGGCAGAGAAAGTAAGAGAAATTCTGAAACTTTGGGAGTAATGAAAAAAGTGTCACTAGTAAATCTCTTGTTTCCTCTATTTTGATAAGGGAGTCAAAGAAAGCGATTGTACAAATGGCTTCAGCTGCGAAAGACATATCATGTAGGAAATTTGGTAGAGTGCATTGAATCATCTAGTATTTTGTATCGATGTGATGTAGTTTGGAGCGAACTGCACTGGGTTCGAGTCATGGACTGAGCTTCAACTCTGGGATGCAGGCACATTCAGTTGACGAGTCCCAGATCGGAAAAAACACGCATCCTGGATTACACTTCAAGCTACCATCCACCTTTGCTTGTAGTGCCAGTTGTGTTGCAGATGAGAAATGAAATTGTAATTTTGTTTGACAGAAAAATGCAAATCGGTTAGTGGATGGTTTTCATCATTAACTGCTTATAACCAAACTACCTCAAACCAAAGAGCATTGGATAGCTTTGTGGTAGAAACGATTTGCACAACAGTATCTTGGGATTCTGGTTAAACTTACGGTGAGTTCGTACCTCATTTGTGGCATACTTTATACTCGGTAAAATGTTCAATCTATTCACTTATTTCGTTTAAAGTAAGCATGATTGTAGATCTGGTATGGTTGGGATTTGTAGCTCAGATGGATGATTTAGGTAGAGTTTCGTTCCCTGCACTTTTGGCTCCTAATCATTATGACAGACAGAACAGGCTGTCAGTCATATGCGGTAAAATCGGAATCAGTCACTTCCGTCTGGACTTATTGCTGATGAGGTTATCTAGGAGGACAATAAATGCTTTGTGGTTAAACTACCCAGAATCCCAGCTAAAATGATCATAGATCGACTGTGATAAAGTACCACATAATTTTCAGTTAAAAAGATTAGTGCTAACAGTACTTAAGTTTCTCGGTATCTGCAACAAAACCACGTCGTTATTACCATTGGTTTTTAGCTCAGTGACCTAGGTTAGTCGCGCGAGTTTGAACCCACTGGGTCGGAGTCCCTGCTGTAAGGTTGTGGATTTGGACCACAGGGATATTCCGTATTAAGATTAAACGGTTTTCAGTAATTTCAGATTTTTAATAGTGGTCTAAATAAGGTCGGTTCGTGATTCAAACCATAATAATCAAATAATATGTGAATCGAATCTACTATGTACAAATGAATTTCGGACTAGTTTTTTTCTGGAAATTAAACTTTATCAAAGAAATGAACTGAAGTTTAAGTAAAGGAGTTTAATGTACCTGCTACACAGATGTGCAAGAATCCTAGATCCATAGTTTCCTGATGATTCCCAACAATTATCCGGAGAAAAAGCTTTTTCTTAATTCAGTAGTAAACCAATCATTATTTAAATTCATTTTGTTTTGGTTGTTTGAGTCTTCCGATTGATGTTTAGGACTACAATTGATCAGCCTCTTAATAGCATATGTGCATACTGTGCGTATTGCCTCGATATTTCTTGAGGTCACAAACATTATAAACAAAGATGGATAGTGGCTAGTAGTGGAATCCAAAGTGAACAACTTTGAGGTGCAGATACATCTAGCTGACGAGTCCGAAATAGGATGAAAAGCACGTTCTGGATTCCATTGCTAGTTACTATTCATCCTTGCTTACAATTGTTATTTATTTCATCAAACCATTTTTGGGAATTTCACACAAGCATACAGGAAATTTTTGTTTCTCAAATTGTGACAACAGAAGTTTAAGATAGGAAAAGAGTTTTAGCTCAAGAAGTTTAGTTACATTATTGTTGTATTGTATGAATTAGCTGTCAAACCCTAAAAAGTACTTCCGTTTATATCAAGTGGATGTGGATAATTGTAGTAATGAATAGGATTAGAAAAATATTTAAGTTTTTAACAGTCAAGAGATATATTGAAACAGACATCAACTATATACCGATCAGAGACATGAAGAACATTCACGAAGTCAGAGTTTTGATTAGTAAAGAACCCAGTGAAAATAAATGCTTTATGATTAAAATATTTAGTTCAAAGAATTCACCAAATGCTCTGATACGGCAGAGAACGAAAAGAGTCAGCTTCCCCTCTCGAAATACTCTCATATGACCATACGAATACAACCATTAACAGGGAAGTCCTAATCTCCACATTCTCTTGGCATTACTGTTGTTTACAAAATTGAGAGGACGAAAAGAGAATATTTGACGCATTAATCAGGTTGGTAGATCCAGAGAATCCGTCTAGGGGATTTGGAAAAAATCAATGGTGAATATGGGCTCCAGGATACTGAGGGAACAAATGGCGTATAAACCAATCGTTGGTCACCAGCTATCATGGAACTGCATCTCCCAAAGTTGCTTCATTGCCTTATGAATCAAACCTTTAGGTCTAAGGACCCGGGTGTGACCCCCTAAGAAAACCACCTGCTTAGGTCTGGGCACTCGGGAAGTATAACAGTTCACACAAAAATCAAGTGACTTGTGTGGCACATACGTATTCGGTGCGCCCTTATACCAATGTTTGTGTTTAAATAAATAAATAATTCACCAGGAGAATTTTAAGACAGTCTATTCGTGACATTTAAAAAAAAAACAACATCAAAGTTTCGATATTTTTCTCTCTTAACAATTAGAATTTCTCAATGTGTACAACGTAATTCCGACGAGTTTTTTTTTTCAGGCGCCAGTTTTATATGAGAACTTCCTTGATAAATTATGATTACTATTAGTTTAAAGCTTTTGAATAAAAAATATGTGAATTTTAGAAATGTAAAATTTCAATTAGTGATTATGAACTCTTTTATTTACCGAAAAGTTCAAAATTTTAGTTACCACCGTAATGATACGGTAGGGAACAAGAACAAAGTCGGGGAGGGGGGTGGTGGTGGTAGTTTTTATAAAGTATGTAAAGATAGAATTTGAATAATTCTCTTTCAGTATTTCATTTGAAATACATTTACTTCGCTTATTACATGTTCACATTTATCTGGCTTATTCATTGAATTTGGAAATATCAACTACTTTTTTTTTTAGTTTATTAAGAGTATTACAATCGAAATGAAAACAAAATACTCATGAGGAAATCTGTTTATTTCAGCGGGGTGTCATAAATTCATTTTTCTGGTTAGCGTTTTTTTAGTGAGTTAGTTTCCTATGGGATGGGGTCGATTACTCTATGCCCAACCTTCCTCTT